TAATTAAGCACTACGTCATGAAGGTGTATTGGGAGTGGATGTCTAGACCCACGTTTTCTAGACTTCGGCACTGGTTGGAGGTGAGTGGGCAACTTCACGCCCCTTCCGCTTTACCCCCGGGGAAAGAGCCCCTGGTACTCATTGGATAGGAAGTTGGGTGGACCCCAGAGCCGGTCTGGGCGACATGGAGAAGTGGAGAGTCTTACCCCTACCGGGACTCGAACTCCAACCCCTCGGTCGTCTAGCCAGTAGCCAGCGTATCCCGGTTGTTCCCTTATATCAGGGGTCTCCAAACTTTTCGAAACGCGGCCCGCATTGGGTAATTCAGCACTTTCAACGGGCCGGATAAAATGAGAAATTAATAACTCTAGGTATATGAGTTTTATTGAAAGCACAGAATTTCATAAACTAAATACAAAGTACGTGAGAATAAATTATCGTATATTAATGACAAGAGACAGTAACAGCAAATGCTCATATTTTCATCACAAATTATAATAAAACAATTAGTGTGAATGATGGAACTCTTTTTGCATTCTTAAAATCTGATTAAATTGAGGTTCAAATTTTGAAACGCTAATCACAAGTAGCGATTTGAAATGTTTNTGCAAACGAGGAAGGAAATTCAGCTTCACCCTTTTTATGCAAGTCTGCGCAGTATAGCATATGAACAAATATACAATTTTTCACTTGGCTTTCCAGAAGTATCAACTTTGCTCTGAGCAAAACTGGGCATAAGTTGCCTTTAATACAAAAATGGTAATATGTACCACACCGGCGGTGATGATGATCTGTTACAATTACACTGCACCACTGCAAAAAGTTTTGTGCACAAGGCGGCTAGTAACGAACTGCTCGCGCTACTTACATTGCCACGAAGTGACACTGCCGATCGACGCCGAACAAGTACGAAGAAATACCGCGCAGTACACGGTCCAGAATTAGTAAATTGTGAATAATATTAATATTAACATAATATGGAATATCAATATATTTTAAACACAATCTTAATTAATGAGTTTGAAATCTATGAACAAGTATTTCTTTTACCAGTACTCATTGGAAAATTAGTTCAATTGGCGCATTTCTGCACAATTCTTTCGCGGGCCGGATATGGCCCGCGGACCGTAGTTTGGACACCCTTGCCCTATATTATCATCAATTCGCTGTTAACACCCATCGTCCCATTCTACGCTGCGTAACCCTCCCTTTGGCAGTAATAGCAGGACATCTCATACGGCGAGAGGAATGCAGACATTTTGGATTAATGGAATCTACATTGACAACGTGAGCCGGTACAGCGACTGCCTACTTACTGGACAGGCGAGGGGTCGGAGTTCGAGTCGCGGTAGGGTCAAGAATTTTCTCTTCTCCATGTCGTCTAGACGGGCTACCTCCTATCCAGTGGGTACCGGGAGTTCTTCCCCCGGGGATAAATCGGCGGGGGCGTGAAGCTGAGCACTCACCTCCAATTATTGCCTGCTTCCCCATGTTGAGCACAGGGACAACTTTACCTTGTGCGTATATGTGCAAAAGAAATGGAAGATGGACATAGACCTACGCCCCAGATAGTGACGAACGAACCGACTAGAACGGGACTCGAGAGCCAAGGCTAAAGAGACCATTGAACAACTGAGGTCGGACTGGCGCTTTGGCAGCTGATGATGATAATTTGTGCAATTAAAACGAATCGTTAAGTAACCTAAGAACCTAACATTACAGAAGTCTACGTTGAATTGTGCAGAAATTGTGCACGAGGAGCATTCGGATCTTGGACCCCAGTGTGTGGGTGCTTGCTCCGCCTTGTTAGGCGTAAATGTTTGGTTTCTCTTCAACTTCTCGTAAAGAGCCACGTCATTCTTCGCTCGCTGCGTCGTGTGAAACCTCCCGGAACTGAGTAAAAATTATGTTCTAGCTCATGGCCACCTTTTGGAGGCCACGTCTGAAATAGTAGCACGCTTGCCGATGACTGTCTCTTCCACGTGCTCCAGATTGTGTATACCCCCATAGAAACATTAGAAAAGGTGAAATCCATAAGCACCTATCTGACTGACACGGCTATTATTAGCCGTCCGCCGTCTTCATCATCAGATCGTGTAGTTACTTACCGCGGCTTTCTTTAAGTTTCGGTGAAAGAGATCTTTTGCTAATAATATTAGACCCTTGGTCACCGCTAGTTTTTTTTTCTCGTTCGTTGCAGAAAGGACAAAAGAATAAATGAAATTGTCCTTTTACCTAAGCGACAGCCCTGTGGAAATCTTTCCGGTTTCGATGGCGCCACAACGGCCTGATAATGTGAGGTGACTAATTTTATTTCATTTTTTCCCATTCTACAGCGGATCCCTGTTTACTGGTGTGATGTTCCAGTTGTGTCGTTTGTTGCAGAAGGGTTCAGGTAATTATTTTTTTGGGGGGAAAGGTTGTTACATTAGAACTGAATAAGATCAGGAAACACCTCAGTCAAGATATTGTGTGTGAGTTGAGAATAAATGTAAACACTGTTACAGCTTCCGCTGCCCTGAGAGCACCATACAGGTATCTCTGTTAATTACTCTGAGGATCCTACACAATGATATAATAATAATTTTTGTTATGTTCGCGTGATTTATACGTCTGCTAAAATGTGAGTTCAAGTCACATGTGACGCACGGATGTCATTGGCTGCAGGCAGGAATAGAAAGTGCTTCCGCAGGCCAGCCCTCCTCCTCCATTGTGTGAAAGCGTTTAACCCCCTCATTTTGTGCTTTCTTTCGACCCTTTTCTTCCTTTCTTCATTCATTTCTTTCTACCTTCACCGGGCGTCATAGTATCCTTCAGATCGGGATATCACTTTTCGTACGTGTTCTTTGCGATTTAGAATGTAGAACGTAGAGCAGTATTTAGGATATTGGTGGGAAAGCCGGAAGGAAGGAGACCACTGGGAAGCCCAAGGCGTAGGTGGGTGGACAATATTAAAGTGGATCTTAGAGAGATAGGATGAGATGGTATGGATTGGATTGATCTGGCTCAGGATAGGGACCAGTGGAGGGCTCTTGTGAACACGGTAATGAACCTTTGGGTTCCATAAAAGCTGGGACGTTCTTGAGTAGCTGCAGAATTGGTAGCTTCTCAAGAAGAGCTCAGCTCCGCGAGTGAGTGAGTGAGAGAGCAATATTTCAGCAGCTGCAGAATGTCTGTACTTGACCTTCTATTGTACGCTTAAATTAGTAAATATTGCAAGTGTAATTGCGCAATATGGTGAAAAAAAATCATGAACGACACAGTTTTTATGTTGGAAATTTAAAACATGGAAAGGGAGCAAAATTTTCAAATTATGTGTGAGAACTTTCTCGCAAAAGAAATCCACACAAGTGGATATTAACCGACGCTATATAGTCTCGATACTGACAGGCAACCAGTTACAAATCGTGGATATGAAGGATAGGAACAGATCACTGTGTTGTATAGCTAAGCCTAATAATTTGTTATTCCTTCTAACTTATGTAAATTCTGTTCTGACCAGAATTCCAGAACATTGAAGACGAAGGACAGGAGAAATAAAGGCAACGTTGTCCTTTTGCTTAATTACTTAAGCACTACGCCATTAAGACGTGTGGGGGAGTGGATGTATAGATCCATGTATTCTTGATCTCGCCACTAGTTGGAAGTGAGTAATCAGCTTTACCCCCGGAGAAAGAGCCTCCAATACCCATTTCATATGAGGCTAGGTGGTTCCCAGAACCGTTCTGGACGACATGGAGAAGGGAAACCACTCGTCCCTGCTGGGACTCGAACTCCGACCCGCCCCCTGCCTTCCAGCCTATAGCCAATTGGAATAGGAGAAGTACTGTAGTAAGAGGAATGGAAGACGACGAGAAGAAACGGTAGACGAAAACAAAATTGTTTTTGTCATTTCAATAGGACAGTCTGTTTAGAGAATCATCGCACCGTAAAGCTCTGTTCTTAGTGATGTCAGTCATCATGTTCTTCCATGAACATATTATAAAATACGATCCTGTGGCGCTGTTCCCCTGCTCAGCGTATAGGAAATGGTTGTGACGTGTGGGCCCGGTGAGAGCAGGTTCCTACCCCGCTCCCCGGATGTAGGCGGTTAGCCCAGTTGCACCCAACAGCAGGAGGGCAGAGTCAGAACTCAAGCTGCATATGTTTACTGAGCAGCGTGGTGTGGCGAACTTAATAAGGATATTAGTTCGAATCTCAGCTGGGTTAGCGACCAACTGACTCGGGTGTATCTCTCTCTTTCTAAGTACCTCCGAGCGAATTGTTCGGATATTCCACATCGGCCTCATTATGAATAATTACTTACCCAACATTTACATCAATGTCCCATTCTTATTCGATATATCCCCTACAGATAAAATAGCGGCATTTAAATTCTAAGAATATGTCCCATAATTCAGCACTTCTGTGTGTGACAGCTAAACCTAGTGGATTTATTATGTCATGATCCCATATTCGACAACGAACCTTTTTATGAGATTTTGTAAGTTTCTCTTTATGGTCCGTTTGAAGTAGGGATAGTAGGCATTGAACCCACAGCAGACGAAAATAGAATTCGCCGTAGAACTACTAAATTAGGCATGAATATGCGGATATACGAGTACACAGGTGTTCTCATTATATGCTTTTTTTATTGCTAGTGGGGTGGGACTAAGTCCCTTGTACTGCGGCCACTTCTGGCCTATTGTACCAGCCCCAGATGACAGGTGAGGGTGATTGTGGAGCAATTGGTGGAATGAAGATTGGCAAGGGAAATCGAAGTACTCGGAGAAAACCTTCCCCAGCGCCACTTTGTCTACCACAAATTCCACTTGACCATACCCGGGATCGAACCCTGGCCGCCGCGGTGAGAAGCCAGCGACTAACCGCTTGAGCTATGGCGCGGCCTTCATTATATGATTACTTCAGGGTGTGCATACAGAACTTGTTTGGACAGATATATGTAATTTGAGTAGACTGCTGAGGATGACGGTTACTGAGGGTCATTTTTGCTGTTTCAGACGGACGCGAAAATGGTTTTCGACGTCATCCAACGGATGGAGGACACCGAGCCATTTTCCGAAGAGCTTCTGGCCGCCATGAAACGGTTGTGGGCCGACATCGGCGTTCAGGAATGTTTCGGTCGCTCCAACGAGTATCAGCTCAACGACTCCGCCAAGTAGTAAGTAGCGTGTTACATATATCGCCTGTCACAGTTGAAGTAACCGGGCCAGGCACTGCCCCCCCCCCACCACCACAGAAAGATTCTCACTGTGTGAGTAGAATGTTACACGCCGGAGGGTCGCCCTCCCAAAATAAAACGACGAGACTTGTCATATGTGTGAATGAGGTGGTTGCCGTCCTGTTCCATGTGAAAATGTAAACATTTCCGAGTTAGCCCTTCCAGAGTTGCCCGCCCCAAAGAAAATTCCCTGTTTTCCATGTGGTGGCGGCATGCTGCTCTTTTCAGTGCAATACAGTGCTACAGTGACTGCAGACGTCTGGCTGTAACACCTGTTGTGGCCGAGACCACGTCTCAAAATGCAGTGCAATTTAACTTACTTTTCAAGTCTGAATTCGTTGTGCCGTTCTGTGACGTTTGCACAGTTTCCTCTGTGCTATCTACAGTTTCGAGAATAGGCTGCAGTTGCAGTTGAAATAGCATCTCCCGAAGAGAATGGCACCAGCTATGACCATGAGGAAGAGACAGTGCGTTTCGAATGGAATTTTGAACTCGCATGTGTAGATGGCAGCCGTGTTACATTAAAATGCCTCCGCTAACGAGGCTCATTTCCTTTCTTGATGAGAGGCACATGGTACAGCTGAATTGTTAGCTTTCTTTCCTTTCAGAGGTTCAGAAGAGGATGGTCACGGATTCACAGTACTGCTGATGTAGCCGATATGAATTTCATCTTTCTTTTTGCCGACATACAACAGAGCCTCTAAGTGTGTTTCTTTATCAGGAATGAGCAGTTATTTTCATTTAGGATCCTGTTAGAGTCGTTTTTGAAACGACGATGGACCGGTTAACCTCGCGAGAAAAATTCCATGTTGCGTTGTAGCGATAAAAATGGCGTTATTAGTTCATTCGAAAACGATATTCTGGATTCCAACTGCTGTTCTCTGTCTCTTCAAGAGAATTCCCGGTTAAAACCAACTAAAACCTTAAAATATATACACGTATCTTTACTTAGCAGTACTTCGTATTCATCATCCTCCCGTCTCAGTCAATGTCCGATAATCTCTGCAGTTAAAGTGACGCTGTAAAATAGCAAAGATCAGTGAAGCGCAAGATATTTATGAGATTTGAGTTTCACGCAGCAGTGACTGAAGGTTGCTGTGATTTGGGATGTGGAATCATGCAATTTGGTACAACTCCACGAAGTTGCATATCCCAGAAAACAGTAATCTTAAATCACGAACAGTCGTACAGATGCTATATAAACTTTTTTTTTTTTTTGTGGTAACGTTTACGGTACGATTTGAAATGCCCAAGATTCAGCGCAGAGAGGCTTTCATAATAACTTGGATGTCTCAGGAAGTACATCTCCGGAATCCAGCGAAACAAACCCATCTGATTTTAAACCACAAAATGTATTATTCGTATTAGTATTAGAATTAATGTCCTATACATTAAACAACGGTTTATAATAAAAATGCAATTCTTTCTTTTTATCATATATATGCATGCACTCAGCAACGGTCTGCTAGTTGCAGGTGCAAGAGATATATTCTCCACAGCGTCCAGACCGGTTCTGGGGCTCACTCAGCCCCCTATCCAGTGGGTACCGAAAGCCCTCTCCCACGAGGTAAAGCGGTCAGCGCGTGAAGCTGACCGCTTTCGTGCTGGCGTCTAACCCTCTCCATACTCGTTTCCATTTAAAGGCTCGTCTTGTAGTTATTCAGTAATTCCATGCTAATCTATAATTTCGCTGGTCACCGTAGCCCAGCAGTCTCAGGCAGTGTTCCGCAAGCTTTTTCTACTCGCGGCACACCATGAAGTATCCATCACTCAACACGGCACACCAAAATGTTATTCCCCTCAAAAACACATGGTATCAGACAATTAATATAAATACGTAACGTGATCAACTTATTACTATAATATTATTATATTGTTATTTTATTATCATTAAACAGAAATCGATTCGTACATTTATTAACAATTAATGAACTTTAATTCACAGTAGAGTGTAGAAAATACACTTCTATTACTATTAAAGTAAATACAGTAATTCTACTCATACCTTCAATGTGATACTTGCGCCTGCGTAGCTGCACACAGGCGACTGATCCGTGGTGGAATCGTTGACAACGAAAGTCTCATTTCTTCATCGATGGATTTGAGCCGCTCCCTCTTTGATGTCTTAATTTCAGTTAACGTCGAGAAGCCCAGTTTACGCAAATATGTAGTTGAAAATGGCAAAAACACATTAACTGCCATCTCGGAGACAGCCGGGTATCCACTCCTTATTGACAACCAAAACGTATCCAAAGGCACTTCGAGAAGTGTTAGTTTCAGTGTTCTGTCTTCTTTTAAATGTGCGAGTTCGTCTTGTATATTAATCGGAAGATGTTCTGAATTCGCAACGAATGGATCACGAACCCAGTCGAAATCTTGTACACTCTCTCCAAAATACTTATTGAATTTCTGCTGCAGCATTTCTAAATGTTCTTTAATTGTCTCCATCACCACTTTATTGCCGTCAGCAAGTGGCCATACAGTCGGGAACATCTCAAACGACCCATCTGTAATTCTCTAACTACCAACCAAAATTTGGGAACTACTTCAGAGCACAGCTGTGATAGAACTGAAACAATTGTAAAACGCGGGATCTCTACTCTTCAAACGGAAAAAGTGACACTATACAGACTTATTTTTGAAATATTTAAAATTTTAATGAAGTCCAACAATCGGTGGGTGCATCGTTACAAAAAGAAAGTCATAAAGTTGAAGAAGCTCTAACTTCTAACAAACGGGCAAATACCAAAACAGCGTTATAAAAGACAGGGAAACCTTTGCTAATCCCTGCAGTTTTAGTAATGAAGTAATGAAAACTATGATATAACAACAACCGTTGTATTCTTAGAATACAACGTTACCGTACATAAAAAAATCACGGCATGTAATAAAGAATAAACAAGCACCATCTTATGTAATCAGTGCAGTGGCTGAGAATAAAATACAAGCATACGAAACAAGGTAACAGGGATAAAATAAAACGAATGAAATTCGGCAATTAATTTCTTACAATACGTAAAAGTTCGCGTCACACCTTTCTCACCTTGTGACGGCACGCCGGTTGCGGAACACTGGTCTAAGGCATGTACTGTCTTCGCTCGCTCGGAAGGCGTGATCGTGGGTTCGAATCCCACACAAGACACGGATGTTTGTTATGTATATGTGTTTATTGTGTGTTTGTGTTCTGTGTTTAGGTAGAGGCCTTGCGACGATCTGATCACTTGTCCAAGGAGTACTACTGTCTGTAAAAAGATTATGAAAGTGAAAGAAAAATCAAGACATGGTTCAAGTAGGCTGTAGAGCCGGTGAAAAAAATCTATAATTTATATTGTTGAAAAGTCGAAACTAATTAACATACCTGTTAAAAAATGGGAACGAATTTCTGTAACAGATCTCAAATTCCACATGGATCCGGCCTGTATGGATCAGTGCTTTATGTCGCGTTCCTCGAGCGTAGCGTAAAGAGGGTTAAATGTCGGCCAATATCACGAGCAAGATGCCAACCTGTAGCTCTGCTTTTATATGACAAAGAAGAAAGGAAGAGGAACTCCAAGTTTGAAACTTGGCGAAAGAGCGTCCTGACTGTATCGACCAATTGACAAGTGCAAGAAGAATGCCACACATGAGTAGCGGAACGCGCAGTAGAAGGCCAGGCAGAGAACTTCCTCCCCGAGACTGTAATGCGCTCTTTGAACAAAGTGGTCATGAAGAAGCTTATAGGAGGTCATGTCCATCCTATCCATAGGTTTCGTATCGGAAACGACCGAATTTTACATTAATTTCAAATCCAACATCGATTTTCTCGAAAACGACTTATCGTGCAGTTGTGAAGTAACTTTCGGTGTGGTGAATATTTAAGGAGATGTGACAGTATTTCCACACCATGGAGTGTGTTGTCTGTAGTGTGACTGGTTTTGTATCTGTAATGAATGAACATCACGGTCGGTTTGGATGTTTAATCCCAAATAATGTATTTGGAAAGAACATGTGCTCAGTTTGGAAGTACAGCTTTCATGCATTTCTAAATAACACACAATGGTCGCGTTGTGCGTATTACCAAAAGGTGACTGGGGCATCTTTGTTTTGTTTTATACGGAATGGGGGTCGCATGAAATTTACTATTGATTGCAGGTAAACGAACCGAGTGACCCCTGCAATGAATCGTTCGCTGCTCTGGGACTACGAGTGCGGCTGTCACATGTTTACTGTGTTTGTGTGTAAACCTACCTCTGTGTGGACTCAGTATTCCAATCCTTGTCGGTCCGAGCAGGTCCTGTTGTGTAGCTTTTAAACAATCATTCGCTTATTTTCTTTTCCGGCCGTAAAGATTTTGAAAACAGTTATATGATGTTTCCTTCAGTGGGTAAAGTGATTAACCGTGCAATGGGCAGTCATTGTTCTATTACCAGAGAGAAAGTTGCCCACGGATCTAGCCACTGATAAGGTAACACTCCTCGTAGGAACTAGTGATCTGAAGATAAGGCGCAGAAAAATATCGAATTCCTATATCCAGCGTGAATTTTTCCTCCTCCTTTTAATTTCTTTCACAATTTTCATAGCAGAAGCTAAGCTTTATGAGTGTGAGATGTATGAATCCTTCACCGTGGTTTGGGTCCCCTCTGCCTGCCTTTGTCATCAGCCTATCATCACTTGTCTCAATTCCGTTAATGCAGAAGCCAGTGTGGTCATAGACCGTACTGTAGGCATAATGTATAGACTCTAATAAAACCGACCGTCGTCATTTACTCAGTTGCCATGTCACCAATCTGCTCGCTCTTCATAAGGTAAAGTTGCAACGGAATACGCTGCCTCATATCCCAGAATATAGAACTCTTCACAGCCACCGCTGTGAGGACCTCAAATCCTACATACTTGGCAAGTAAGGGTTACACTCATACGTGCACTCATAATGTATTTTAATGACTTCGGGGTAGCAAATA